AAATAAAACGGATTTCATAGGGCCCTATAATTATAATTTATAATAATTTTTTTGTGGTAATAAAAATAGATGTAAGTGAACAATAGCCTTTAAAATTACTTAAAATACATATATAATAGCAATGAGGCAATAATAATTAGTTATGAATTAGTTCAAATAAAGTATCAAAAGCAAGAAATCATATGGTTTTATTGAACAAAACTGTTAAAATACATAATGTATTATAAACAATAGAGCTAATGTACATTACGCAGTACAACAAAGGCCTGCAGGGGCGCCAATGGCCTGATTATTATTTTTACTCATTGCTGTGCGATCTAATACTTGTTTAATATTTACCAAGCACCATTTCATTCAAATGTCCACTTAATCTTTAATATTTGGCCATTTCTTTAGGACAGAAATGCTATAGCCACTTTAATTAAAAGAATATGTGGACATCAAAACGTGTAAACTGAGTGTTTAAGCCTTTATTTTGAAACCGCGATGTATTCTCCTGAGTTTGCGTAAATTTATAAATAATTTACGTTACAAATCTGATGAAATGGCGCACGTTGCGTTCCCAGATGAACGTTATAATAAACCCAAACTCACAACAACATGCAGAGATAGAGTTTGAGACGCTCCACACATGTAAATGATAACAGTTCCTGTGGAACTACTGTGAACGAAGCCGCTGTGTGACACACGTACTTAACCTACACGCATGTAAATAATTAAAGCGCATATACTGTATTAGAACTGCATCGCATATAATTAATTAAACCGTAGTGTTTGTGAATTCACAATTATATTTAATTATGATTTTTAAATGTGTTGAATATATCATGCAGCCTTGGGAAACAGTCTAATAATGTGTTTTATGGATTCTCGTCCGTGAAACGCGCCACTTCCGGTATTTTGCCCATTAGTCGACGTGAGCAAAATGAAGTCGAGGATTTAAAAAAATCGAATAGTCGAATAAAATCGACAAATCGCGACAGCCCTAGTCACGAGGTTCAACATTTCTCAAAATCTTAAAGCTTACTTCCAGGTTTAAAATGGATTTGAATCTGGACCCAACTGTAAGCATGTTTCACTGCAGTTGCTCATCCAAAGCTCCCAAAACAGTAACCTCAGAAGAAACTGAACCTTTTTCTTCTATTAAAACTGTTCAAATAAATATGAAATCCAGATTATATGATCCGTTATTGAAAAAGACTATTTACCTAGCATGCCTGCTCCAGACCGAGAAGCGTCAGGGGAGCTGCCTCCACCATTCTTGCTCTTGAAGGAGGTGAAGAGGTGTTTGCAAAGTTCCTCAGGGATGTCATTCTCCAGATAGGTCGTCATGAACAGCTGGAAGCCCTCATAATCGATGGGCTGCAAGAGACAAGTGGAGAGATGATGAGAAATGAGAAGACTGGGAAGCCTGAGAGACTAAATAAAGCCATGAATATGCAGCTTCCTGCTCCTATATGTTTTCAGGAGAGAGGATGTTCCTGTCATTGGGCATGAATGACACGCTCAAGCATTTCATTATGACACATGGCAACAAAAATACAGAGGGAGCTCACTGACACACATTAAAGTATAGTAAAAACACATAAATTTGCACATTTTTTTTTGCTGCTCATAGAAACAAAATCATCTGAGGTAAGGTTACAAAAACACCACGATGAAGAGGCCGTTAATACAATTTAAATTAGCACAGACACATGGCTCACATTAAAAAGCACTGGGTGCGACCTTTGACCTTCAGTAGACATTATAGCAAGACTATCCTGTTAGAGAGGAATGGGCCGGGGCATGCAGTCTGTAGACACATTGAACCACAGAACATGCAAACCCAGAAGGTAACAGCTTACTTGGTTGAGAACATCTTGCTTCTGTGTGGCAGTCAGAGATATATGAAGAGGGTAGAGGGAAAGAGGGGTTATATACACTGCAGTGGCTGTTCGTGCAGAGGGAAGGGATCAGTGAATGGTGTTACCTTTCATATCCTCTGAATGAATAGGCATTATTCCATCTTTAATGCTGTATTGCGTTAGTCCATCTGCATCATACTTAATGCTGTTTTGCAGGTTTAGTGGCAAGAGAATCCAATGGTTTATTTGCATAATCCGGACTTAGTTCTTAAAAGGTGGTAATTTTCTCTCAGTAAAAAAAAAAGTGTGCAATAAAGGACTAAAAAAGGGGAACAGCTTTATTACCGTTGATGAAAACTAAACAAAAACAGTCTTGTTAACTGAAATAAAAATTAGCATAGCTGGAGAAAAAAGAAACTAAACAAAAATACAGTTGGTAAGATTTTTTTTGTTTTAAAGTTTAAAGTAAAATGTTTTCAAGTTTCTTATGCTCACCGAGGCTGCATTTATTTGATTAAGAACAGTAATGTAATGTACACAAAATGTTATTGCCCCAAAACTAAATAAAAAAAAAGTAATAATAATAATAATTTTGATACATGCTATATTATAAAACTTGTAATCTTTACAACCCACTTACTCATTAAACACGAAAATGCCACCAGACAGCAAAAACACCAGGCTGTGCTGAAAACATTAAACTAAATTAAATAATAAAAGAAAAACTAAACTAAACTAAAACTAACAATGACAGTGAAAACTAACGAAAACAAAAATTGCAGAGACAACCTGAAAATAAAACAGGAATGAAAACAAAATAAAAAATATAAAGCCAAAAGCCCTTGAAGAGAATTAACTAAGTATGATGGTTTAGGCACATGATTCAATACATGGGCACAAAAGCACCCACAAAATCTGTGCTGAAGACAATTTTCATGGCATTGTGGATGAATTCCCCTTCAATCATACCATTGCAGGAATGAACAAACCTAAATCCTTTGGATCCCTCTTGTTGCTGAAATGAAACTGGAAACAGGCAAAAAGCCAGTAAGGCAAAAACAGGCAAGACATGTAGGAGAGAAGGAAATGGGGGTGAAAACAGAGGAACTTGCATGCAAAGGTATAGGCTATGCTTGAGGGACTGCAAACGGTGGGCAGATGCACACCAAAAACAGGAAGGTGAAAGTAACTGCACCCAAATGACTCTCTTTGTCTCACTATTAGCAAATGCATTTATATGTTTTGCTGGTGTGAAAAGCAGCACAACCAGCCATGGCTGTAAGAGAAACTTCCTGTCTGGCTTTCAAATGTGCAAAAACACAGAGGTTGGCCCCGCTATCAAATAATGCAGGAAACAATGAGCCGTTTCTTTAACCTTTCACTGGCGCCCATTTTTACAGACACTCTTGATTTGAAAAAGGTTACAGAGTCACCATAATTAAACTTCATTATGAAAAGGCACTCAAAATAGCCATGACTTGTTGAGACTGCGATGAAGGATATTTACAGCCCGACCTCAGTCAGACAGTCAATCACAGCTGTATCCATGAGTGAAATACAGGGCTGTCATCGGAAGTAGGCAGCACAGTGGCACTCATGGAATGTCACCTCCATTTTGTGATACTCCCAGACTTTATGAGTTAAAGGTGGTCGCAACTGAACTGATGAACAATGCGAAGCATGCAATGTCACACCACAGCCAACCTGGCGTCAGCTTCAGAACCATTAATTGCCACCGGTGCTTATTCACTATTGATTCAGCCATGGCTCTGGGTAACAACCTGTGGCGCCAAACCCTGAGCAGCCTCTTATTTATGTCAGTGCGGAGGAGAGGAGAGAAATATAATGGTGACACTCCATAAAGCAAATTATAGATGCGGCTGCCTGCTGGCTTTGTTGTCACGGCAACATGATGCATGGGCTTTATGATGTCAGTGAGGACTTTCTCCAATAGCAGGCGATATCTGGCCACTTCGTTTCAGGGAGCGGATGACTAAGCATTTCCTGTAATGACTTGCGGCCTGAGTCAGGTTGTATTGGTGTTCTGTCAAGTCACAGCCAGAGGCTCCACTGCCTCTAAACAGATCATTTAATCTGGCGAGATCACGGCAGCTCCTGCCATTACATACCTGTTCAGGGTTGTACTTGGAGAGGACACCATTTCCATGAAACTCTTCCAGCACATCTTTAAGCTTCTTGGAGGAATCTGGAGAAAAAAAATAAAAATGAAAAGGAAAACACTTAGTCAGATATACAGCTGTACTCGTAAGTGTAGATACTAATGCTTTACTGGCAAGCTGTAACTCTGCTAATATTAAAATAAAATAAAATAAAATAAAATAAAATAAAATAAAATGATTTTAGCTCCCAACATATTGGCTGATGTTCTACAGCACATCTCCTTTTCACGAGGCCCTTTCATTAGCAAATTCACTTGAAAACCAGGAACATTACAAGCAGAACAACATTTGTTAATCTTGCATCTTGGGTGTGTTTCATAAAATTATGAAATTATGAAATAAATAAAACATTTTAATTTCTTATTTTCAACTCATATTGCATGAGTTCAAAGTCTTAACGCAACGTTATCTCCAAACACAACAGAAATGTACTTGAAACAAACATACATGCATCATTATCCATAACAATTTGAAAAAAGGCCTTGCATTTAGTATCTATTACTGGAAACATGGTGTAATCTGGCAAAATAGGCTAATTAAGCAGAGATAATAGCTGAGCAGAAAATGTCACCAAAGCTTATTAGCATTACGCCAGTAGAAATTAGCCTGCTGCCCCAGGCTTCATTTTTATTTTCTGAATTGGTTGTCACACACGTGTCTTCTGAATGCCGCCCAGGGGGGCAGAACAAGGTGCTTTCCTCACAGAAGTTGGTTAATCTCCCCCCAGTACTGATAGCAGTCATCACTGTCTCCTATTGGCTAGCTTTGTCTGTTAATGTTTATTATTCCCACATGCTTAATCTCCTTGCTTTCAATTTCTGCTGGATTTTTAGCGGCCTTTAAGAAAATAAAGAAAATCCACATACGACTTAAAGTCACTTGATTTGTGCAGGACTGGCACTTACTCATTACAACCATTTTTTGTTAATTAAAACAAACTAACAAAAATTGCTTTTGGTAACTGAAATAAAGCTGAAATGAAATAAAATATAAAAAATGTGATAAAAAAAATAAAAAAAGCCTAGCTTAGCAACTAACTGAAAAAGTTTAAGTGCTGAAAATGACCAAAACGGAAATACAAATAAATTAACGCTATGTGGAAATATATTTAAAAAAAAAAAAAAGAAAGAAAAAATTAAAAGCACACATAAAATTGCTAAAACTCAAATTAAAATATAAAAAAATGAAAAAAATGAAAATATACAAATAAAACTAATTCAAAGTATTAATAAATCCTATAATAAATAAAAAAAATAATACTGATTGCAAACATTGGTAGGTGAATAAATAGTTACCATTTGCTCACCATCATGACACTCTAATCTGTATGCTGTTTTTTTTTCATTGAATACAAAATTACACATTTTTGAAGACGATTATCAATGACAATTCAAATTTAGCTCTTTCTCACATGACTTCTGAAGGCTTACACCCTACTTTTTTATTAAGATAAAATATTTGTTTTATGGTGCTTTTTTGGTGTTTTGACTAGAGATGCACCGATCAACAGGCTAGGGACCGGAATTAGCCTATTTTCCGCATGATTGGCCCCGACCGGTAACCGGTCCATTTTGTCGTCACAGCTACGCTACTCAGACAATCTGTCTGATTGTGAGAGACAGACTCGTGCAGAAATCAAAACAAATGAGCACCACAGCACACATAGAAAGTTATAGATGCATTCTGCGGTAGAAAAAAAATTATATTTCTAATATATGATGTCAGGGCCGTGCACAGGGGGGTGGCCCGGTGGCTAGAGCCACTGCCCCTCTGCTCTCATCGGCTGAGGTGCCCCTCTCACCAACCCACCACCCCACCATCACCCCAGCTCAAAGCGTTCTGTTACTGTTCCGCTAAAGATCCACTGATTCCGCTAATCCGCCCGCTCCGCAGCATCACTCACAATCTGTGTGCCCACTCTCTGGAGAGTTGAGACAGTTCCCGAAGGTAGTTGCATTAACAGGTAGATGCATTACAATCCACATTACAGTCAGTGGTTGATCCGCTGAATTAGTAATTTGGTAGTAAGTTTTTGTATTTCTGTCGGTAATGATTTGCTCTCGGTCTTCTAAAAGTGCTAACAACTTGTACAAAATATCCATGTTCTTAGAATTAGATTGTCTAATCAAATTATTGTACCCGAACAGAATATAAATAACACCAAATTTGCTGTAGTTGGCATACTTTGAAGACAAAAAAAAATGCCTTCACAAAAAAGAAGACGGAGAGAGAAAGAGTGAAGGGAGGCTACTAAAGACAGTTCAACATTGCAAACATGGATTCAAAGCTCCAGCAAGCCAGCAGGTAAATCATCATATAGAATATTTAGCAGTTTGTCACACTTTAATTCTTGTAATTAAGTATATTTCCCATTATAATCACTTGTCTTAGTTGATACAAGTAATCTATATAACACATATTTATAACATTTTATTAAAACCATATTAATATTAGGCCTATAAATAGTTAAAAAAGTAATATAGATGTTCTAAATGAGATGTTTAAGTGTAAGCTATAATATAGATGTATGCTGCATAATATTAAATTAAATGTATATGTATAATTACATTACAACAACAAAAATTGAATTAGCACTAAGCCTACAATTGTATTTACAATATGAGTGTAAAAGGTTTGTTATTCATTCTTTATATTAAGATGAAACTGCCCCAGAGTCATCACAACAAAGTAAAAGTGAAGGTCTTGGAACTGAGCCAGAGACAGAAAATGTTCAGATTGAGAAAGAAAGGCAATACAATGAGACAAAGACAGAGGCAGAACAGGAAGATATGGAGAGTGAGGCAGCCATAGCCATGTATTAACAAGCACCCACCCCCCTTAGTGCCATTTTTTTGGTTTGGGCCACTGCCCCTCAAAATGTTTGTGCATGGCCCTGTATAATATACTGTATGTAAGCAACATTACATGACCAAGATGTTTCCCCGAATATCAACACGATTGCAATGTGACACTGTAAGTTAAAATTAAGTGACTTACATTTTAGACATAATATTGACTGTTTTTGCTTACTTTCGCCCATGAAAATAGTTCCAATCACAGCAAAGCAGCGTTTTGTTACTGAATGAATCCCCGTTTTTGAACGAATCGATTGAGTCAATGATTCAGTGACCCATTCATAAAGACAGCCACTCACCTCATTTCTGAATGAATCAGCTGTTTGAACGAATCGGTTGAATGAATTACTAAATGACTCAGACAGTCATAAAACAGTCATTTGCTGTCACCTACGGGTGGTTTGGTTTCATATTTAAAAGTATCATTGCATTTTTACCAACATTTCTTATTTGTATGTTCAAAATTTTTTTTATTTAAAATATTAATCTTATAAAATTATGCATTTGCAATTTTGCAGTGTAAATGCATTTATGGCACCTCAGCTTCATCAAACAGTCTGTGTAAATACATCTAATGCCACTTCAGATGCAGCTTCTGTGTTTCCTACAGTGAAAAGATGGAGTTTGTTGATACTGATTTCATTTGAATGGTAACAACCATACAGTTTCTTATTATTCTAACTGAATTAATTGAAAATGTAAGAATTTGATGTGAAAGATGACACATTTAATAAGGTTAGAGGAAAAAAAGACCATTTATAAACATAGTGGGAAATGACATCTGTTGTTATATAGAGCAACTCATTTCTGCCTCTTTCCAGTCACAGAGCACTTTATTTTGAGAGTTGTTTAAGTGAGAGAACATCTGTAACTTAGTCCAGATTGGGGGAATTGTAATGTTTAATCGTTTATTTTATTATGTAAATCATTGAAAATGCAAAAAAGTTCTTAGAAAGAAAGTCGGAATTTGGCAAAAATCGGTATCTGCAGGTCACACTTACAAAAAAATTGCAAATCAGAATCGGCCAAGAAAATTGCAATCGGTGCATCTCTAGTTTTGACCTTTTTTGAGGTTGACAGATCAGACACTATATGAACCGACATTATAAAGGAACAGTTTAAAGATTCTTTCTACATCCATGTTCCGTGAAATAAATAACAGCATACAGGTATAGGACAACACGAGGGTGAGTCTAAAATGACATAAAATTCATTTGGGGTGAACTGTCAGTTTAAATGGAAAAAACACCAAAAATGAAGTCAGATATTCAAATGTTAGGCGAGTCAGTATATAGAGACTCAGCAGTTAAGGGAAAAACAGGTGGGGGCACCAGGCAATGCGACAGACACTCATGACTGAAAACCAAACTGCACCCGCTTTTTCATCTGAGCAAAACGAGTCTTTCCTCAACAGGTAAAACCCAAAACAAAGCAATCTGGTGATTTCTGTGGTCGGAAAGACTGACATCACACTTTTATCATCAATCAGAGGTTTACAAGCTGTTAAAGTTTCAGATCCTAATTCACAAAATGTAGAGTAATGTCAGAGGTCAAACACACAGACGTAATGCATCTCTGGTCTTTGGACTGGGACATTTTGACTGACAGTATTAAAGGGTTAGCTCACCCAAAAATGAAAATTCTGTCATTAATTACTCACCCTCATGTCGTTTCAAACCCATAAGACCCGTAAGACATTAATCTTCGCGTGACGCAGCTGACACAGAATAGCATACGCTGTTTGCGTTCAGTGGATATTCTCCAAAATGGCACCAGGGTGACACGGAGGAGAAGAATTGTTGAATAAAGTCATTATTTTTGTTTTCTTTGCGTACAAAAAGTATTCTCGTAGCTTCGTAAAATTACAGTTGAAACCCTGATGTCACATGGATTATTTTACCGATCTCCTTGCTACGTTTCTGGACCTTGATCCTGGTAATTACATTGCTGTCTATGGGAGGGTCAGAGAGCTCGCAGAATTCATCAAAAATATCTTTATTTGTGTTCCGAAGATGAACAGAGGTCTTACGGGTTTAGAACGACATGAGGGTGAGTAATTAATGACAGAATTTTCATTTTTGGGTGAACCTTTTGGGTGAACCTTTAAATGTACAATACTTATCATTGATTTAAAGACTGACACCAAACTCCAAACTGCTTATCCTCTTACTAACAGACCTGTGTCTCTGGGTTTTTTAATAGTCAGGAATCCTAATGCTGTGACTGAGACTGGAGTTTCAATTAGCTCATTACACAGAGATGACAAATGTATTCCGCTGATTATTAACACCATGGAATCAAAACAAAGTCCTTAGCTCCTAACTGAGCCTACACATTACTTAGTGGCAAGAATGTACATACGGTCTCCAAACCAATATTGTTTTTTCTTTTTTTGATATAGAGAAATCCTCTCTCCTCTCTTTCACTCATAATTACCTTAAAGTACAGCTGTAATCTGTGCCAGACAGGCCTGGCAATTAATCTGAGAGATAAAGTAAAATTTAAGATTAATGCCTCATTTCACACCTACTGAATTCTTAATGGAAATGTGTCCGGTATCCCAGAATATACTCCACATCATGCATGTGCTATTTTTGAAGGCATTATACCTTAAATATGGCATGCTGGCAGAGTTCAGGGTGAGAGCACTTCTGACTGATTATTCAGTCTTCACTGTTCCTCAAGGGTTTTTAATCAAATCTGTTACCAGGGGTCGCCCTCAACGAAAGAAGCAGCGTTATACTGACTTTATGAGTATTTAGATTTATTACCAGCATCCTATAAGCCAATTAACCTCACAAAGCACAGATAGATGCTTCATTTGGAAATTTCATGGTCATTTTACAGGTAACCTCTTAAAGTGGCACAAAGGTCTCTTTGGAATTCATATTAGCCAGTGCAGCCTGTGCAGATAATCACAACAACAGGGGCTTTTAGAGGTATAGTTTAAAGTTTAGTAAGTTCATTAACACTGTAATCATTTTTTTTAAATTTGCCATTTAAACAAAAATGAGTCCATCAAGCGCTTAAAATTTTTAATCTAATTAATTACACTATGTGCTGACATACTGTATCTGACTGGTTTTTAACCAGAAGTATTACACTTATACACTGATCTCTACATCGACTGTCAGCACCCAGCAGCATCAAACCAACATCACTGTTTCTATGTACGTATATACAAACCGCAATGTTTGCACAGAGTGCATTATTTGCACTCTAATGTTCTTCTTGGCACTTGAGTCCAAGCCTGAAGCCAGTCACCTGCTTAGCTATTTGCCAATTACACTACATGCACATAATTAGTTTTGTAAAGAAAACACTGAAAATATAAATGCTGATGTGACTAAAGCTTCCTCTCAGGCTGAACTGAGTAGTTAGTGAGAATGGCAAACAGCAGGTCCTTATTGACCAGATGAAGCATAGTCTTCCTCATTACACATGCATATGTGCTAGCACAGCCAGTCCTATAACAAAATATGAGTCAGCTTTACCGAAAGCCCTTATAATAATAGATACATTCTGAATTAATATCCTGCTTTAGCATCCAATTTCACTTTCCCCCCCATCAAATCAATACAACCATTCTGCATTCCCTCAAATCTGTCATACCACAGTTCCCTTGTAAAATAAGTAAACAGATAAGCAAGACCATCACTTTTTAATGTTATTGAAAATTTCATATGTCTGTTTAGCTTATAAAGTGGTCTGCATCAATAACTTCATTAAATGTTATTAATCAATACCGACGCAGAGAGCACTGGCAGCACATTGATGCGTTACGTCAATATAGCCTACATTCCCAGCAGTGCTTCCTAAAAGTCTAGTGGGTTGGCTGCAGAATGTGTACGCATCTTCCTACATAATATATTAAACAAAGCATCAGCTTAAACACAGGAAGCTGAGCGGTACAGTTATCGAAAAGGATGGCCAAGGACCAACTAAATGGACCAATAAACCCTCTCATCCATTCTTATCCACCCAACAGCCCCAAAATCAATTCCAATCAACCAGAGGTCAGAGGAGAGAGAGGATTCTTGTGCCCAGATACTCACACTCACTGTACTGCTGCAGCTGGGAGAATTCGGCTGGGCTCAGACAGACCCAGTCTCCCATCTCGCCGGTCAGAGTGCTCGCGGCGAGCCTGGGGAACCACACTGATCGTCCTCAGGTGAGATATGAGAAGGACATGGTACGATCTGGCATGATTATGTCACCTTTTCTTAGTAACAGATGGTGAATCGGCGTCCCCGACGTGGAGTTGTGAAATGAAGGAGAGACACAAGGACGAGGGCAGTGTGAAGGCGAGGCGTCCACAGCCACCGGTAGGGGCTGGGATTGGAGTAGCTCTGCGGCGTGGAGGTGCCAGGTGCACACGGAGGAGCAACTGATGACCTTTCAACTGATGTAATCTATAGAGAGAGAAAAAACAGAGTTAGTCACGCCTCAAAGTAACGCCAAAAAGCTGATTTACTAAGATTTGTGGTAGTAAATTTATTGGTATTTGCACCATTATTTAACACCCCAAAAAAGCATGAATTAACCCATTTTGGACCTGTGTCATTAGAAGATTACACAGACCTGGTTATCATTGGCTCTGCTAGTTTGTGAGCCTGTGCTAATTTGCACTGCTGCTGGTAGACCGTGTTGGTCATTTTGGATGTGAACTGACTGCATCTGTGTTCGTTTGCGCACTGTCAGTGGATCAACCACAAAACTTTTCACTCCCATCTATGCTTTTATGGAATTGCTTTCTCACACTTATTTGTCCTGTTTAGTAAATCAAGTCCTTAGATTGCAAATCCATTAAAATAAACATGAACGACATATAGAAAAAAATATTAAAAGTGAATTACAAAAATACTAATATACCTGTAAAAAATATTTTTAACATATTCACATATTATTATTATTATATATATATTATAAATGTATTTTATCTATTATAGGTGTATGAAATCTCAAAATATAACTTCTGTAGTAATTCTCTAATTTGTTTCCATTTAAGGGATTTTAGAACAAACATCTGAGACCAGGTTTATACTTTAAAAACAAATGGGAACAATATTAAGTCTCCTGAGCTAAGAAAAAGCAACCTCCGAGTAATACTATTTTACTCCTGAAAATAAGTTTTTTTTTTTTTTTTGACAAGGTGTACAAGTCATGCTGTATGCTGTCTTTGCCTTCATTTGGACATTTCTTTAGCTCCAGTTCACCCAGTTAAAAACAGCATAGCAGCTGTATAGCTGAGAGTTCAAAGGGCCTCTCAGCAAATGACTCACATGGGCCTGGCTTGCTTCTGTGCTCAGCATGCCGTACCAATCAATGTCTCTCATTCTCTGTCTGCTGAATACTCTTGTTCTGTCTCTATTTCTCTCTCTCGTTCTCTTTCTCTCCTTGTTCGGACACTCCCGATGAGTTTAAGTAGAGAGAAAAATCAACAGCAGTATGCCAGCACATCCACAGGGAGGGAAGAAACTGACATAAAACCTTTGCGAGGAGCAGAGGCATGAAAAACTGCCGTGATGAGAAGAGGAAAAGACAAAAATCAATGAAGTTGATAGGGCTGCCATGAGTTACAGCATGCCAGGGAGTAAATTCATGCCCACTGGTTTAAATGGGATGCTGGTTGTACAGAGAAAAGAGTTTGAACACAAGGGAGGGCGAAGACAAGGAGTATTCATTCAAAATTCATACAAAGGAAAATAAATCGTTCTTGGTTGAACATTAAATTGTATTAAAAGTTCAGCCTCAAGATGTCATGCACCACAATACCGTAAGCATTTGTTTGGACACACAGCCTTTGGCATCAACAGCAAAATATATTGGAAGTGTTAGACTTCACAGACTTCACTAAATGAGCGTTGGTTCACGCATGCGTGTCAAATAGACGAAGTGGAATAGTATGAGAGCACAATAATTCTGCCTAAAAGGTAAAATACTTTGCAAGTGGAAGAACTTCAAATCTCTTCCTAATTGTACAACAGAACCATAAACTGCAGTACAAAGAGTGTGTTGCAGCAGTAAAAAGTTTGTTCATCAAACCAAATAATGTGTTTTTCGAACAACCTAGTATGAGAGCCTATTCTAGTACACCCCCAAAACAAAATCAAGACTTTGTAAAAGAGCATAATAGGACCCCTTTAATAATAATAATAATAGTTGTATTTTTTGTTTGTTCCCCCGCTGTACTGAAAACATACCAAACCATGACTTCAAAACAGTAACGCACTGAACCATTGTTTTTGTGTACCGTTACACCCCTAAAAATATAACATTGTAACAGCGCAAGCAAAGGAAGCAAAAACTGAAAAACAAAAAATGGATGATAGAGAATGAAAGAGCAAATAAAGGGCAAAGTATGGCCATCAGTCGTGAATAGATATAGATAAAGATCTTGGTGTAGGTGCTGGTACAGCTGTATTGAAACACACAGAGAAGTAGAGATTATCACTGAGTGGAATCTTGCCTGTTATTCTCAAGTCTCAAAATGAATCATCCAACCCAACTAAACTTTCTGAATTGAGTTGTATTATGGACCTTTCAGACCAGAGAGCAGTGTGGTTATTATTCCTGATCTACACACAACATGCTGATATATATTTAACATTTTAAAATATAATCATGCATACAGGCGTATTACCTCACTTCAGAAAGATCAGAAAAGATAATTCACACATCAGCACTAGAACAGACACAGAAACAGAATCCTCCAAATAATAATTCTATAAGCTTCTAAATCATTATCAAAAAAAAAAAAAAAAACTAAATTAATTTTATGTTTTATATATGATTGGTTTAATGTATTTGAAAAGAATGACACATAAATTAGGTGCCACTCCTGGATAAAAACACATCAGCAGGACTTAGAAAACAGGATCTTAATTGAAACATTGCTTTAAATTAAGTTTGATTACCAAATGATTATCTTTGTATAATTAAATGACCAATTCAATAATGAAGAATCATGCAAGCTTGTCTGGTAGCATATGGAATAACAGAAAGACAAAGAAGTCAGTGATAACTCATGAAAACACCGACATTAGTGTGTACTGTAAGCATAAACAGCTTACGTTTCCATTAATAAGAGACTCCATATGAAACATCATTGATTTTCCCCCATAACTAATTTTACTTCACAATGATTTATTGGTCCATATCAAGGACGTCATTTTTGTTACCAACTGTGACTTCAGAGGGAATTTGCTTTTCTCTTGTGGAACATTTCACAGAGAGCCAAAAATAGACCTGAATTATTCCTATGGGACACAGCCCAACGTAATAACTCTATTTTTTATTCCCAAAATGAAACACTCTTTTCAGCTTGCCAAAAATGACATCAATATACATGATCTAGGATAAATAATATAAAAACTTGTCATAACAATACTAGCCAATTGATAAATATGTGCCAAATCATTAGTACAACATTGTAGCGAACAGATTTGAGCCTTAGTGGTCTGGTGAGAAGGCCTGTGTTTCTGCCAACCATTAAAATAACTCCTGTTTCACACTTCAATTCACGATTTAGCAAAGGTTATTCACAATCTGCAAGTCAGAATCAAAATAACCAAGCTTTTATTTATTTTATTATATTTCACAAAGCCCTAGAGAGTTCATAGTGCATTTAAAACATCCTGCTCAGATTTCTGCTACATTACGTAAAAAATGGAAAGAAAAAGAAAAGAAAAAAATCGTGATTCTAGGGATTTTACATTTTCACCATGATGAAAATTTTATTTTTAAAAGCTATTACAATGATCATAAAATGATTGATACAACAAAATAGTAATCGTCTTTCTGCACTGGTTTGTCCAACACATGCCCTGGTGCATTCAATACAGTAATCATCCCTCTTACCTTCACAGACTTCACTTAAAAGTACATTTTAAAAAGTTTAATGTGAAAATGCTTAACGTGGCTTAACGTTCTAAAAACAACAAGTGATTAAGCATTTTCACATTAATTGTTTTAGAATGTCAGCACCTTACACTGCAGGGCCATTTGCAGACGATGTTTTTGCATTCCATTGCACTTCTCTTCCATTGCTTTTCTATGTAAACATGCGCTAAACGGATGTTTTTGGTCTTTACCCTCACATTTAATGTTTTTCAAGTCTGATGTATGAGTGGTTTTTAAGATGTTAAAGCTTTAAGTTAAAAGAAGTTGAAGTTTTAAAACTTGTATCAAGAAACACTCTTAACTTCGCCAAAAAAAAAAATGCTTGTATTACGCAATATTTATGTAAATGGTTCTATACATTGGTTGTTGATTGGATGGAGGCATCTACATGCATGCTTTAGGTTGACTGTAAGAAAATGTTGGGGTTTAAGCAGACTAAGGGCATTTTCAGACCTGTACACTGTTTGTTTTGTTCCGAAACAGGGACTTAACTTGTTACAATGTTGCATTTTCTTCTTGGTTCGGCTTGCTTTCACAAGGCAGCATTGCAAAGTGCACCAAACTTTGTTTATGCAAGTCACATGCGAGTAAAACTGTCCTCTTATTGGTCAGAGTTCACTTGTTTACTTTCCTCTGCATCAGTCATCAAGATTGATTGACAAGTTTGTTCCGCTGGCTTATTGTGGCTTTATCTGTAGCTGTCATGACTCCCACAAACACTTATCCCGCGCTAACTGATAAATAACATAGAATTATATTTAAGTTATAATATTTAAAATTATAATATAACTTATGTAATGCAGTGGGAATCAAGGCTTCGTCAGGACAGCATTCTTGTAATGTGAGGAGAAGAGCAATTACACAACAGGATCGGCTTTCACCGTGGACGAAGCGGAGTCCAGCCCGGGGTCGTCACATCCCTCTGTGTGGGAAAATTCATCCCATGCAGCTTCTGTGTTTCCTCTGCATTGAAATGATGAATTTTGATACTGATATCATTTGTTTGGTAACAGCCCAAATGTATTTTATTCTAATTGACTGATTAAATGTAAGAATTTGACTCAAAAGATGATGCACTTTTAGAAAGAAAAAAAAGGCTTTATAAAGGTAAAAATGTCCATAAAATGTAAAAATCAATTTAAACTTATTGAAACAGATTAATTTCTATTACTGCTGTGAACTGACTAGCACACAGAATATGAAGGATATCAAAAACAAGTTTCACACACACACACACACACACACACACACACACACCAGTACGTAAAGGGGCATTTAAGAGGGTTTATTCTCCAAATAACTCTAATTTCACATTGCAGAAAAATGCGTTTAAAAATTGTGTATGGTCTCTTGTTCTTGTTCCAAGTTACCTTCCTGTCCACTGAGTTTTGCCTCTCACAAAAGCCATAAAGCCTTCCAAGAAAAGTAAAGGATTATGTTTTGCTTGAGCTTTATTTAGGCTGAAACTTGAAAGTTAAGTTGCACGACATAAATGCAATGTTTAGGTATT